AATGTCATATCTCTGATTTTCTAGAACTCTAGTCCCAGGTAACAAGCTGATGTTATTTGTTGTCATTTTGACGACATTAGAAAAATGACGTCAGCTTGTTACTTGGGATCCACGCATTCGTACCTCTCGCAACGTCTGTGTGCCAAATACTAGAACAAAAGAGGAAACGCAGTACTCGCGTACTTTTTTCTAAGGTAATTATACACCCGTAATTATCCGGCTATTCGTTCTTTCTTCATCGTAGTAGGGCGAGCGTAAGATTCTACGTAGGTGATCATCGTATATAAATATTATACATATATACATACGTATTATATATATAAATATATACATACACGCGCTACACTACGCGCGGACGGGCAGGAGATTTATATGAATATATACACGTAAGTGGAGATATAGGTAGGTAGAGGCTAAGTACATAATATATAAAATTGTATATTTCATATACATGAAATATACAACTCTGCAGTCGTACACATATACACGCCGCAGACAAAGCTGCAGAATGATTTCTTTTTTCGAATGTCGACGAAGTGACACGTATAGAAACGCGTTTTGTACACGACGACGGTCCTAACGTGCACTGCAGACGTGACTTTTATCAGAAAAACTTATTAGAGCAATTGTCTACCGTATGTGTATAAAATATATACGCATCCAGCCACATTTACATGAATATATATAATATGCATATATATAATATATATTATATATATATATTATATATCTATTTATTATATACAAGATGCGTAGCGATAGGCGATCGACGTTATTCTCATTACTGATAAGGAATTTACGGATGACATTAGCGAGAAATACGCGATTTATTCAGGAGGTACGAAAGAGTACGAAGGGACACAGGTACAGTGGAAGTGAGAAGCTGGCACAATACGAGATGGTCGACAAAAAGATCCAGAAGGGACCAGGAAAGCGGTAATAAGATGCAAAGAGCAAACTCCTTAGATCGAATCACCAATCTGACGAATCGCTATCTCTCTCCAGATTCCCAAGTTTATGTCGACATGCAAGATCATTATTTTAAAAATCATTAGAGTTGAACATTGCTCTTGTAGAAATAAAATCAGAGAAAAATCTGGAAGAAGAAAAATACATGATGAAGAGAATGAGTCTGCAATTTTTTAAAACATTGAATACAGGTACTTCACAATTACTTTTCCAACTTTGTCGAGAAAAATATTTTTATTTAAAGTCCATTATTTCTGAAGTTTTCTAATGGAAGTCTTCTAACAATTTCTTATGAAATCTTTACAGTAACGATTTATAGATTGAAAGAGAGAGAGAAAGAGAGAGAGAGAGAAAGACAATTAATTGATTCGGAATTAGTGTGAATTAATAATAGAATCAGTGTCAGTATAATTGGTTCAAAACAACGTGGCTGATAACAATCGAGAGACACGGCAAGACGCGTGAAAGACCTGCCGGCGAACTTTTCTGGCGGCCAAAGGTGTGCGTTAGGAAGGATATTGCTCAATATTTGCCAACCCGAACGCAGCTCCGCTACATACATCTCGCAACTGACGCCGCGCAACGTGCATCCCGCGTCGGATTATTTAGACGATCGCAATCATTAGCTAATTATTACCTTGCGTCCCACTATCAGAAGATGACGATCGTCGAGTCATCGAGCTTCATCGTCTCTCCATTGTCGCGATTACCGAAGGATCGAGCGTTTTGCGATCAAAGTGGCGAATCGGCGTTTCGCGATCGAACTGTTATTCCTTACAGAAATCCAATTTAAAATTGAAAGTGATTAATTACTTATTTTGAGTAGATATTATAAGCATTGTTCGGTGCTTTTAATACTCAGAATAAATAATTAATCACTACCTTTTAATATTAAATTGGTAGTGATTAATTATGTATTTTGACTATTAAAAACAGTGAATAACAATGTTTTTAATATCTACTAGAAAAAAGTAATTAATCACTTTCTTCCAGCAGTAAATTTCTGTGAGGAATATTAATAATTGTCATACTAATATTCGCTGAGAATTAAATTTTTAAAGCGGTCGGACCGAAGAAGAAATGGTCCATTAATTAAGAAGCTCGCACATAAGTACAATTGAAGTCTAAGAAATTTATATCGGTGAGAGAATTTAATGCGACAATCCACCGCGAAAATTTCGTGCGTCACCTTGATCGTTTCTCGAGTGCGATCGCCGGTTTTGCGCTATTTTATCGCAGCTTATACCGCACAAACTCATCATTGCGCCTTCCGGATAGCGCAAATATTTATATACATCCCTCCGAGATTCAGAGTGAGGTATCTAAAGGTGTGCTCTCCTCTCAGAGATACCTTGGATTCTGTTTGCGTTGTTTGGACCACTGGTGCTCGATGCAGTCGCGTACCATGCTTTGAGAAGGGCCTAACAGCTGACACACATTCGCGTATATACGTATTTATTTATTTTATACGCTTCCATACCTTACGTTAACCCGGTCTGCATCCGTGGACCGGTTCGACGAGGCTTTCGTATCAACCCTCGGATGCGTTTGGGGATTTTACTTCGATGGATGGACGATTTTCTCTGGTCGAGATCGCGCGTTTTATTGGATTTCTTAGCGTCCAGTAAATCGTATCTTCTTCAAAGCGAACGGGACGTCGCCGATTATCGAAAAATTGTAGAATAAAATTTTCTAACTCTCTATCGATTGTCAAATGGTAAAATCAATGATGAGAATCGGTGTTCTACATTTGACTGTTTTCTAATTCGTAGATTTCTTTCGTTAAGTTACTAGTTGATAGTTGAATAAGAATTAGGAAATTATTGACCATAAGAATTAGGAAATTATTGAAAATTGTTATTAGGAATATTAGGATCATTAGGAATGGATCATGCGCATGCTGCGACGTTGACTCTAAGCAAGATCGCGAACTGATAATCGCGTCGATATAGTTATTAATTAGTATACGTGCTCGCGCCTTTTGCTATTCGCTGAAAAAAGAGAATGGAAATTAGTATTAGCGCATCTCGCGGTCGAAAGCTAGTTAATCTTATGATTTGTTGGTAGCAATATTAGTGTAATAAGCGACGTGGACCTCCATTATCGTGATCGATTGATATTTATCTCGCAGTTAAGAAGAAAGCTGCTTATCGCAGAGCGAAGTAATACGATTGATCGCGTCCGGGGGTTGAAACGCGCGGCGAAAAGGCATACCCTATTTATTTTTTACTGTCACACATACGAACACATGTACACACACAAAAACACACGTACACGCAATCCGGAGCACGTCTTTATAGGGAAATAATAATTACCTACACGCAGTAAGAGTATACTAAGGATAAGGCGAATGATAATGATTGATAAACGAACATTACGATTTGCGAGTGCTTATCAAGTATTATAACGAAGCGAGACAGTCCCCCAGCGCGAGGACGAAGATAGAAGCGAAAAAAGGGAAATTAAAAAAAAAAGCGAAAATATCTCGTTCTTTTTTCTGTTCCATTCTCTTCCTTTTTTTTCACGCAAATGGTTTATCAGGTTTGTGATATCGTTCCACGATTGTAAGTAACTTGCAGCGTGGCGCCACAACCGTAACGTTGCATTTGTATAAAGCTACTTTGAACGGTGCATTTTCGTTCGCGGTGATATCCCGAGTATCGGTAGAGCCATTATATTCGTTACCGGATACGTTTAATCGCTAGGTATCAATCGATCTCCCTATTCTTATCCCTACTGATCCCCACCTCCCTTCTCCTCCCAATCGAAGCGAAGACAAAGCGTTTCGCAGGACAGATGCGAGCTGTCCGATTTTGCGTTTTTTCCCTCCCCTCCTCCGTTTTCTCCTCCGTAACGCGAATTAGCGAAAGGTCATTAGTGTAATGTTTTCTGACGAATCCTGTACGCCAAATCGAATTGACTTGTTACATTTGTAAATGTTTGTAAGTACTACCGTACGTAATAAAATAATCGAGTAATAATCATCGAATTGCCCTGACGACCACCGTGTGTCTGTTATCCAATTAATCCGATTAATTCAACCTTACGAACAACGAATAAAGCAAATCATTACATACTGCAGCACAGTCTCACTCTTATTCTATAGGGTGTCCTATAAAAGAGGAGCAGCGGACTGCTCTCGGAGAAGAATCCACTTCCCTGACGAAGATCAGAACTGACAATTATTGGATAGATTATGGACAAATGGGCTTCGATTCTGAATTGTCTGTACTTTCTCATTAATCCTTTGTGGACCGGCGATCCGTTTGGGGTCATCCCTTTTTACTTTATAAACTGCTTGTTCAAGTTTCATGAAATTTAGCTTATGAGCTTATGGCTAATTTGATAATGCTTTATTCGAATCTAAGGTCAAAAATAGAAAATTCAAAATAGTGGATTCTATATGGTGGACAGAATTAAAAAAAATATTTTGATTATATATAAGATTCGGTTTTAGGGAGTTTTTAATTTCTTCCAGTTTCGCTTTATTTGAAGCTCATCAATGCTATGTAAAATATAAACAGTAATTACTGATTTCCAAACTGATTTTTAAATTTGGATTACGAACTCTGTGACACTAGATCCTCCTTCATGGAGATTACTATAATACTTTTAAATTTACATTTTCCATTTTCAGACTACATTTACACTCGAAGATACTAAGAACCTCCTAAAACCGAATTTTACGATATTAGAAAATCTGTAGAAAGTAAGATTATTTATGTTACGTTTTTTCGCGTTGCTTAAACTTTTTACATTCAGAATCTCCTCTTCGTCCGAATATATATTTACCTCATTTCAGTGTAAAAATTGTTGGATAAACGCGAACAGACCTTTTGTTAGGAAGCTCCAGTCCTTAAAGCGTCTCTTCACAATTTATCTGTTTTACCAATTTAATTCATGTTTCTAACTCACTTTTCTAATCTCAAAACGATACTTTTAAGGAAGAAAAATATTTATCGAGGTAAGCAACTTTTCTTTAGAAAATAAAATCAAAATATTTAACATATTCAAATCTTTTATTATCGGCTATTACCACGTTTGGGATGATGGATTGAAAAAATGGAAGTCTAATTACTAATTATATCAACAAAAAAAAAGGATATAAGATATTTATTTATTTATATTTACGTTTTCGGAAGAAATACCATGGGCCTGTTTAATACCTTCCGCTACAATTTCACGTTCCCGTTGCAGTTCTTTGTACGATTGTAAGAGTTTTTGGATCTTATCCTTTTTGAGCGATTCGAGGCGCACATAATGCATAATGAAGTCCACATCGTCCGTGTGCTCGCACTGCTCAACTGCCGACTTAGTTGTAGGATGAATCATATGGTACAGACGTATCAGCAGCGCAGCATCCTCGATCCGATTGGTCTCGATCATCTCGTACAACAGGTTGTCGATGTTACTCGTCCACACTAGGTGAAACACCATCGGCCCGAAGTGACGCGTGGATCTCAAGACATCGAAATGTCTCTCGGCATTTATGTGTTCGTAGACTTCTCGGGTGATCGCTTTGTAATCCGGATCGTCCGGCTCAAATTGCACACATGCGCGATCCAGTATGAACTCGTACTCGTTGCGATTTAACAAATCCTGTGAAAAATACAGTAATATATCAATGTTTACTTCATGCAAGCATTCTCCATTCCTCTTTCCTACTCTTAAGCTCCTGTCAACTCATCGTATTATCTCAGAAACAAAAAAATACACAAATTCTGGCAAAATATATTAATATGGAAATATGTTTCCATAAAACAACACTTATAATCAACAGAATTGACTTGTAAAATATACCGAAAATTCCTTTTGTTTCATTAATAAATAACCATATACGGAAATGAATTATGCTGAAATATGAGCAACGTTCAACAGCTATGAAATTACAATTTAATAATATATAGAAATAAATATAATTTAGTTTCTCTCTTAAACAAGAAGTCTTCGACATATTTTAGAGATCTTAAATCTATGCATAAATATCAGCAAAGATACTAGATACAAATTAGAGGCAATGTACGTACCTTCATGTATTCATCTTCAAACATTTTTGGTTTTTGTAATTTCCTTTCTGGTTTTGGTAAAAAGGTTTGTATCATTCTATCTCGTTCTTTCCAAAAGGCGTGTCTCAATGTACCACCCGGTTCTCTAACTACTATTGATCTTTGTCTATCCTTAAGACCGTATGTGATATCAGTGAAGACGTATTTAACAGTATCGTGATCCTGTAGCGCAGGATCTTCACATAACGGCTCAGACGGTTCCAATCTTTCTTTTACCACTGGTGGCATTTGCAAATATTTCTTCGCTCTATATTGCGCCGCTTTCCTAGCTTCCTCGAGTTCTTCATCTGTCAGGAATTTAAACTCTGGTGGTTTTTGTTTATATCCATCTTTGCGAGTCCGAAAGACTTTATTATAGTCCAGTGTCGTCAATGTTTCCAAACATTGCTGAATTTCTTTATTAAAAAAGAATGGTGCTGGATCTCTTTTCGTTGGATCTGTAAAAAGTTACATGAAGATCAATAAATCCGTCTTAATTAATTTTAAAGAGACAATAAAACTTAATACACTCTACATTAATAACGGAATAATATTAAGAATGTTTATGTACAGGGCTTCAATGGCAGGGAATAAAAAAACAAGAGTTATAAGTAACTTGTGACATAAAAACTAAATTTATCACATAAAAGATAAAGTGAAAAAGCTATAATTACATCACATAATTTCAATTGTACAAGTAACATCAATTTTCATCAACTTTGTTATCCATGGCACAGTAAAAAAAATAACCTAAAAATTGTACCTGACTCACGATAGAATAATAAAGATACCTGTTTCAACGTTCGTCGAGGTGAAATCACGGCAATTCGAGATTGCACGTGAATACGAACGACGCAAAAGTTTACTTATGTGATGAGAAAGCATGATAATTTTTAATAAGCACAAGAGATAACAATAGTCTCATCACTCCACTTCACTCCACTTTGCTCCAATCCACCATGCTCTTAGAATTGCGTTCCAAAACTCGATCAATCCGAGTACTATTTTATCCTTGTTCACTGAATGTTGAACAAGGATAAAAATACTTTAAGTTGACAGAGTCAGGTTTTAGAACGCAGGAAAACAAGCATAAAGTGGCGTAAAGCATCGTGTGCAGCAGGCTTTACATTTGTTTACATCATGAATTTAACAGGTTTCGTAGTTTCAATAATAACAAATTTCTACGATTAATATCTCTGTTCGTGGGGCAGAGTAACACTTTTATCTGCAAGATTCGTTCGTTTTATGAAAAAACGCGTCGATTGGTATATATATATTTTTTAAATTTTATGATTATGTATAAATTCAACAAGTACCTCATTGAAATTTTTATTATAAGCTATGTTCCCCATTAACATTTTTAATTTTATTTGCAGCATTAAATGTGAATTTTAATATATATTTTAAAAATAAAATATGGAATATACGTTAGAAGATGCTTTTGAATCGCTGGTAGAGAGAAAGAAAGAACAGGAGAAAAATATTGAAGATCTGATAAACAAACTATCGAACAATGAAATTTTCACAATAAAATCGTCCACCTCACTGGACGACATGAGAATCAAACAGAACAAGTTACATGAGAGCTTGCGTAAGGAAATCCAACAGGTGGAACCCAAAGATTATCCAATTTTGAGAACATCTGACTTACATGCAGAAGTGATAATCGAGCTGGAGGCAGAGATTCACGACATGCAAAAACTTCTCAATAATCTGCAGCAAAAGCTTTCCGACATCCAGGAGGACATTGCATAGTAAGTACAGCAACACGCAAGTCCCATTATCTTTATCAGTTTCTTTAGTTTCATTGTGTTTATTGCAGTTTGAGAAATAAGAAAGATGGACTGAATAAAATGAAGGAAGCTTATCTGGATATTACAGAAACCTTTGCAAACATAACTTACAAGAAGGAACTTAGCTCAGTGAAAAGTTTATTTTTCCAAGTGAAGAAAGATTTGGTATGAAAAGTCGTGATTCGTCATCACTTAACTGTAATACAACTGCAACAAGTACAGCTTTTTTTTGTGTCCTTCAAAAAAAATAAAGAGAAAGAGAGAGCATTACAACAAAGATTTCTGTTTTTGTACAGCCTCATTAATTCTTCTCATGAACAGATTATAAGTGCATATTATCTTCATTATTTTTCATTTTTCCAATATTTGTGCTTGAACTGTAACCGCATAAAAAAAAGTGTAACTTTTTTGCGATTGTTCCGAGATCATTTTATTTTCTTATGTATTTTTCATTTTCATCAAATCGAAAATTATCGTAATGATAGTGATATGAGTTACACTCAAGGAAAAATTGATACATTGAAGTAGTTGATAAAATCCTTATTCACACATCGTTATGAAATCACTCAATTATATATATATATATATATGCTTTAATCATTTAAAAATTAATTTAGAGTTGGATTAACAAACTGAATATTTTATTCTTTATTACAAGTGTCAATTTTTCCTTCGATAGCATCATTATTACAAGTTTCGGTCTTTATGAAGAAAAATATATAAGAAAATGTAAAAATGAAGCAATCTCAGAATGCGAAAAAGTTGTATGTTCCTTTCAATCAATAAGTGTCAATGAAACGAAGCTAGAAATCCCCTTATTGTAATACTCCCTCTTGCAGACACATCAGTAGATAGACCGTGTCTATTTCAATTGTATTATAGTTCAGTGTTTGTCATGTCTGATTTTTACAAAGTAAAACAATACTGTCCAATATCTGTACTGTTCATGCCTATTGTGCTTCCCTTTTTCTATCTCCATTAAGAAAAAGGAAGACAGTAGGTATGAACATTGAACTACATATAAAACTAATGCCTATAATTACAAATCTTAGACAGTATTGAAGTAAAACATAGAATAAAGTAGTGATAGGTAAAAACTTCATTTTTGCAGCATGTTGTGGTGAACGTAATTTTTCCGGACAATGAAGACTTCCAGGATTTATTAGCGGTATGAATGTCTTATAAATCTATCTTTTTTACAAAGTTGATTAATTGTACGAAATTACAATTACAGAAGCTAACGAAAGCTTACATGAAAGGGGGAGATGATGTTTATATAGATGTCATACCTAACGAATTGAATTACATAAATTTTCTACTGGAAGCCGATATAATACAATACCATCCTAATGATAAGACTAAAATTAGAATGATGGAGTTATTATGATATCCGGTAATTATCTAATGTTTTAAATATTTTTGTACCTTATAATTTTGTACAACCTCGTGCTACCACCGTGATGTAGCATAATATAAAAAAATAATCGATAAACATGATATTAAAAAAATAGAAAAACGCTTTTTTTTCTCATTTATCGCTAATATAAAAAATATTTTCTACCACAAGAAAGGAGATCTTTCTCTCAATATTCTAACACCCCAGCGATGCCACTCGTTTCGAGTGATCCACAATTCCTGTGCTGATTCCAAACAGCTTAAAATCCCTGCTCCTTTCCACGTTGTCATACCGGGATCCATATCTTTCGGCTGTGTTATAATATCTAGTTGTTCTGCAAAAAAAAATCAAGTGTAAAAAAACATGTTTCATTCATCGTAAGCAAACTGCAATTAATTGAATAAGTTAACAAGAAAAAAATGCCAAATACGATTGAGGCTAAATCTTGAAATTGAAGCTGAAGAATACTAATTGCAACAAATTTTTTGCAGTATTTTTACGATGCTTATTAGCATTGTTATTAATGATAAAAAATTTAATGAGATATTCTAACTTGTTTTTCGGAAATACTAAAAAATGTATTATATTAAATATTTAAAATATTTAAAAAATTCACATAGAAGTATTAGGTATCGAACTCTAGCCTTAATTGCATTTGGCATTTCTTTATTTAATTAATTTAGTTATATAACGGTTTAGTTTAACTTACTGCAATTAATTTACTACGAGTCTTGAAGGAAATACTTACCAGGCCTATACATGTAAGGAGTTTGAAGAGATATTCGATTGCGAAGCCACATACCGATACCCTTAAACTTCAAACCTGATCCAACGACTAGTACACAACTATACATTTTTCTTTTGAGATCTTCATTGGCTATTATACAGAAATTAGACTAGCTATACACATTTTTATTTAGTTACAGGTTACTTATTTGATAAATATGTTTATGCTCACAACATCGCTCGATACTCTGCAAAATAGCTTGATCAAGACCCAATAGTTGTTGCGGGATTACGAAATCTCGGGGAGCATCTAAATCGCGATTTAACAAACTTGGCGCAGGATCACCGGCGTCAACTACAACCTCATCGTCGCCCGCAACTGCAGGTGCAGCCGCCGCCTCCTCTTGCATTTCTGACGAATGATCTAGAGTTTCTTTCATGCCACGTCTCTGAAATCGAAAGCAATTGAATCAAACTTGGATATGTTAAAATGTAAACATTAATTAGGGGTTTGAGAAATATAAAGCAATCACTTACACTTGTTTCTCTTAAATAGTTTTCGTCATAAGGATCTTCTGGATCTCCTAACGATCGTTTCTGGACGTGAACATTATGCGTTCCGGTAATTCTGAACAGTTCAGGTTGAAATAGGCTCAAAGGTGCTATTAAACATTCATCGCCAACCTGTTACAAACTCCAAATACTAAGTTTAATACTATAGAGAATAATTCTTTATTTTTTAAAGAATAAATTTTAAAAAGGCAACACCTGCATGGTATATGTTTCCGTTTGTTGTTTTGGCTTTCTGACAATGAACGTTTTCTCCTGTGAGCCACACACATTTAAATCTACATGACAAAAATCTATCTTCAGCTGCTCTAAGAGTAGTGCATCCAACTTGTTGGTAGGATCGCATGATTTGTATGGAAATGCGGATTTTTGTAAGAGCCAGAGAAACGTCTGTGTAACATCTGCCCCGCCGTAATCCATACGCACTCGCGTATCTTTATGAGAGATTGCGTCCTCCACGCAGGATACCGATATCTTCTGAGCCCCAACATCTACTATACACGCGTAACCCAAACCTGCTCCAAACATCGCACCTACGTGATCCTATCAGTAACGAAAAGATATTTGAAAAACAAGGCTATTTGGATTTCAAACAATTATACGAGTAAAACATTTCATTAAAAAAAGACAAGAATTTTTTTCAGGAGGGTATATGATGTATTATGGACATCAACTAACTTGCAATAGAATACAGCGTCCAAAACCAATCTCATCCAATAACAGTGTGGTCAATTCCTTCAGATATGGCCGATGATAAATATCAGGTATAACAAGCACTGCGCGATAGTGCTTTAAGTCTCTAAGAGGAATATCTAACTTCTCAGTCAGTACATATTCCCAGATGGCTTTTAAGTCTGCCATGACAGCTGTTATGCTACCACCCGGACCTGAATGTATATTAAGCTCTCCTCTTCTGTATGGAAAGTGGATATTAAAATTGCACTCTTCTCCTGGATCTAACGACAAGATATCATCGCCGATGACTATATCACGATCGGTCTTCGTCCACTTCATGTTGCTGGGCGAAGAGATTTCTGGACTAGATCTACGATTAAAAGCTGATATCTGTTGCGGTGGTGTCGCATATCTTCGGCTTCCATCAGACTGTAAACAGGACTGAAGGGTATGAGATACTTGCAACCGAGATTCTTCCATCGCTTGTGTTAGCTCCTTTGTCTGCCAAAGATAATGACAGATAGAAACATGATAATATAATTTTATTGCACATTTATTCTAGTACTTACTAGTATTACAGTTGGAGGCAAGAGGTTGTCCTTGTACTGTGTTCCATTCTGTAAACGTCTTCTTGCTATGGCATGTAGTAATGTAATGGGCTTCAGATCAGAAGCACGGCCCATACGAAGGTACATAGAACCCGGATGAATAACAATAATTGTTTGTGCTTGGATTTGCTGAAATATGATATAGATAGAATAAAAATGAATCTTGCAAGTGTCGTTTCTATATGATATTTGTATTAATACTAAAAGTAATATACATGAGGCAGTAAAGTTAGATATAGAACAAAGTTAGAATAAGAAGAGTTATAGAAACTCAGTTAGGATAAGATCATGATTCGTTTATATTTTTGTGTTTGGTCTGTATAATTATTTTACATTGTATGAGATAAGCGTAATCAGAAGTCTTAAATAAGCTCATAAAAAATAATAAGAGATGTGTTTTTTATAGCTGAATTAGTATACATTCGTTGTGTTTAAAATAAAATAGATTTATATTTTAAGTTTGATGAGAAAGCGAGAAAAAAAATTTAGTGCAGTTGAGTGATAGAGAACAGGCTTATGTATCAATTTATTTAAACCAATAACATAAATCAAAAACAATTACTTCGGTTTCTTGATAAACTGGCATCTTCGTTGACATTCAATATAGCAATAATAATCAAAATTTCTTGCTTCACTTTTATTCTTCTTCTATGAAGATATTCCTTCAGAACTGAAATGATGAGTGTCGCGGTACAATGTTTCTTTTCTCTTCCTTCTTCTTGTCAATATTTTATTTCAGTTGTCTGAAGAAAACATTTTCAAAAAATATTAAATAGTTTGTGTTAACGCGATATTTTACATTGTATTCGAAATATAGATATTCTTTCAGTGAACATCGTCGATTCATAAAGCATTCGCGAGTTGACGTCTATAAAATAGGTTATGTTTCCCATTGTTTACATCACAGCTTATATCCGTTCGAAAATTATGGCGAATTCGATTGGAAGCACTATAGTGTGCACTCTGGTGCATATTAAACCCGTTATACACTGATTTAATTTGAGTATAAAGGTACCTTTTCATGTTGACGCTTGACGCTCATTTTCGGCGTCAATATCACGTGATAGAAGTTGACGAATATCAAGCGTTAATTTTGATCACGTGACCTATTTGACGCTGAAAATGAGCGTCGAGCGTCAGCATGAAAAGGCACCTTAAAAATGAAATGCAAATATTTCGAATTATGAAATACATATTTTATCTAATAGTACAATAAAATGTATTGGGTATTTCAAGTTTTAATCAATTTTTATGTTTATTTATAAATATATCTTTACGTTATTTTGTGAACGACGGCTTTAATGTGCACCAATGTGCATGCAATCGAATTCGCTATAAGTTTGGTTACTGCCTAGTTTACATTGTGCACTTGATAGAGGTACTAATAGAGCTCTGCATCCAATCAGAAAACAGGATTCCGATAATACGAAGCAAAATTCATCGGAATCCTGTTTTCTGATTGGTTGTGAGCGTCGTACGACGAAAATCGGATGCATTGTGAATCCAGCAAAAGTTACTGCCAGCACTGAAAATTCTAGTTTACATTACATGCACTATAGATTTTCAGTATTGACAGTCAATTTTGAAACACAGCCAAAAACAGATGGTAACAGTAAAAATCACTAGTGTGCGTTTCTTTTCTTCAACACTTCCTCCAATTCAGCAGGGGTATATTCAGAAACGTCCAGGTAACACTAGGCTATAGTTTAAGTAGTCTTATAAATTATAAAATGCACACCAGAATTATCTGGACATAATTCAGAGGTTGATTGTGTATTTTGAAAAATAAGGTGAAAGTTACAAAAGTGAGTAAATATAACATTTTTTCATGGGTAAATAAACGTTTAAAAAATATTTTTTCAAACCATTATTTCAAATGAATAATTAATGTTAAATAAACATTTAATAAACGTTAAATAAACGTTTAAAAATGTTTTTTCAAACCATTATTTCAAATAAATAATTAATGTAAAAAAAAAAACATTAAAAAACATTGTCTGCTGATTTGGTACTGGATGTACTCACTTTCTCCTTAAGGCTAAAAATTTTTCTGCAAACATAAACTACATAAAAGCGAATATTTCAATATTCAGCACATTTTCAGCAATGTAAAATGTAAACTAAATTATCTAAATGTCATTCTAGATAAAGATGACACTTTTTTTCATCTAACAATAAGATGCAGATAAAAATAATTAATATTTTTATTATTTAGATAAAGATAAGATGACATCAAAATTTTTTTCATCTAAATGATCATCTAGTTAATTTTATCTAGATAAGATCCAATACTGACTATTAGTATACATCTTAAGTTTTAAGTAGTTTCTAATAATCCACCCAGTCAGCACACAATATTTATAAAATATTTACAAAATATTTATTAATATTTATAAGATTTATTTTAAATATTTTGTAAATATTTTTGTGGTCTTAGATTGCATAGATCATAAATATTTATTATAAATATTATGAAATATTTATTATTAATGTTATAGT